GGTTTGTTGCCCCTGTGTCGAGGACCCATCGCCGGTGCTCTTGCTGCTCGCCTCTTTCACCGATTTGAGCGAGCACTCTCTCCTCCTTCAGTTGAATTGGCAACCCAGCCGGTGCATTTGTTATGCACAGTTGGAGCTCTTCTTCGGGTTCGACGCTCACCAGAGCAGTTATGCCGTCGTTGATTACCTCTGTGGATTTGGGGAGCTCTTCCTCGGGATTAGGGACGTCAGGTAGGACTGATGCAGTCACCATGAAAATGGTCGGCTCGTCCTCCTCGGATTGAGCCACATGGGCCTTCTCGGTCGTCTCCTTGTTCCTGAGCTTGCTCCAGTAATTTTTGTTCAAATGACCTCTCTTCCCACAATACGAGCACTCGATTGGCCCGTCATCAGCCGACTCCTCCTTCTTTTGATCCGCCTCTTTCCCGCGCATGTGCCGGCGAGATTTCCATGGCTTCTTACCGCCTTTGGAGCTAGAGGGCCCATTGCTCTCACTGGTACCGTCACGGAGCTTTAGGCGTGCAAGCCATTCCTCCTCAGTGAGGAGTAGACGACCCTCCTTGTCGACAGCTGAAATGGTATTTTTCTTCCGCTGCTCGACTTCTCGGTCGTCTCCTTGTTCCTGAGCTTGCTCCAGCAATTCTTGCTCAAGTGATCTCTCTTCCCACAGTATGAGCACTCGATTGACCCGTCATCAGCCGGCTCCTCCTTCTTTTGATCCGCCTCTTTCCCGCGCATGTGCCGACGAGATTTCCATGGCTTCTTACCGCCTTTGGAGCTAGAGGGCCCATTGCTCTCACCGGTACCGTTACGGAGCTTTAGGCGTGCAAGTCATTCCTCCTCAGTGAGGAGTAGACGACCCTCCTTGTCGACAGCTGAAATGGTATTTTTCTTCCGCTGCTCGACATTACGCAGTCTTCCGATCACCTCTTCCACCATTAGGTCATTCATGTCAAGCAATTTCTCGATCAGCCGGCTCCTTCTTCTTTTGATCCGCCTCTTTTCCGCGCATGTGCCGGTGAGATTTCCATGGCTCTCACCGGTACCGTCACGGAGCTTTAGGCGTACAAGTCATTTCCTCCTCAGTGAGGAGTAGACGATCCTCCTTGTCGACAGCTGAAATGGTATTTTTCTTCCGCTGCTCGACTTCTCGGTCGTCTCCTTGTTCCTGAGCTTGCTCCAGCAATTCTTGCTCAAATGACCTCTCTTCCCACAGTACGAGCACTCGATTTGACCGTCATCAGCCGGCTCCTCCTTCTTTTGATCCGCCTCTTTCCCGCGCATGTGCCGGCGAGATTTCCATGGCTTCTTACCGCCTTTGGAGCTAGAGGGCCCATTGCTCTCACTGGTACCGTCACGGAGCTTTAGGCGTGCAAGCCATTCCTCCTCAGTGAGGAGTAGACGACCCTCCTTGTCGACAGCTGAAATGGTATTTTTCTTCCGCTGCTCGACTTCTCGGTCGTCTCCTTGTTCCTGAGCTTGCTCCAGCAATTCTTGCTCAAGTGATCTCTCTTCCCACAGTATGAGCACTCGATTGACCCGTCATCAGCCGGCTCCTCCTTCTTTTGATCCGCCTCTTTCCCGCGCATGTGCCGACGAGATTTCCATGGCTTCTTACCGCCTTTGGAGCTAGAGGGCCCATTGCTCTCACCGGTACCGTTACGGAGCTTTAGGCGTGCAAGTCATTCCTCCTCAGTGAGGAGTAGACGACCCTCCTTGTCGACAGCTGAAATGGTATTTTTCTTCCGCTGCTCGACATTACGCAGTCTTCCGATCACCTCTTCCACCATTAGGTCATTCATGTCAAGCAATTTCTCGATCAGCCGGCTCCTTCTTCTTTTGATCCGCCTCTTTTCCGCGCATGTGCCGGTGAGATTTCCATGGCTCTCACCGGTACCGTCACGGAGCTTTAGGCGTACAAGTCATTTCCTCCTCAGTGAGGAGTAGACGATCCTCCTTGTCGACAGCTGAAATGGTATTTTTCTTCCGCTGCTCGACTTCTCGGTCGTCTCCTTGTTCCTGAGCTTGCTCCAGCAATTCTTGCTCAAATGACCTCTCTTCCCACAGTACGAGCACTCGATTTGCCCGTCATCAGCCGGCTCCTCCTTCTTTTGATCCGCCTCTTTCCCGCGCATGTGCCGGCGAGATTTCCATGGCTTCTTACCGCCTTTGGAGCTAGAGGGCCCATTGCTCTCACCGGTACCGTCACGGAGCTTTAGGCGTGCAAGCCATTCCTCCTCAGTGAGGAGTAGACGATCCTCCTTGTCGACAGCTGAAATGGTATTTTTCTTCCGCTGCTCGACTTCTCGGTCGTCTCCTTGTTCCTGAGCTTGCTCCAGCAATTCTTGCTCAAATGACCTCTCTTCCCACAGTACGAGCACTCGATTTGACCGTCATCAGCCGGCTCCTCCTTCTTTTGATCCGCCTCTCTTTCCCGTGCATGTGCCGGCGAGATTTCCATGGCTTCTTACCGCCTTTGGAGCTAGAGGGCCCATTGCTCTCACCGGTACCGTCACGGAGCTTTAGGCGTGCAAGCCATTCCTCCTCAGTGAGGAGTAGACGATCCTCCTTGTCGACAGCTGAAATGATATTTTTCTTCCGCTGCTCGACTTCTCGGTCGTCTCCTTGTTCCTGAGCTTGCTCCAGCAATTCTTGCTCAAATGACCTCTCTTCCCACAGTACGAGCACTCGATTTGCCCGTCATCAGCCGGCTCCTCCTTCTTTTGATCCGCCTCTTTCCCGCACATGTGCCGGCGAGATTTCCATGGCTTCTTACCGCCTTTGGAGCTAGAGGGCCCATTGCTCTCACCGGTACCGTCACGGAGCGTTAGGCGTGCAAGCCATTCCTCCTCAGTGAGGAGTAGACGACCCTCCTCCTTGTCGACAGCTGAAATGGTATTTTTCTTCCGCTGCTCGACGTTACGCAGTCTTCCGGTCACCTCTTCCACCGTTAGGTCATTCATGTCAAGCAAGCAATGTCTCGATCAGCCGGCTCCTCCTTCTTTTGATCCGCCTCTTTCCCGCGCATGTGCCGGTGAGATTTCCATGGCTCTCACCGGTACCTTCACGGAGCCTTAGGCGTACAAGTCATTTCCTCTTCAGTGAGGAGTAGACGACCCTCCTTGTTGGCAGCTGAAATGGTATTTTTCTTCCGCTGCTTGACGTTAGGGGCACAGATCGTAAATATGGCGGCGAACGCAAGTCGATCCTCCCGGTACCCAATCGTCTCTCCTTCCTCTGGCTCGACAGCGTGCCATAACACCCTTGCGCCTGTAGGTTGACGACTCGCATCAACAAGGTCCAATTGGACCTTGTCAATATCGGATACTGAACGACGACGGTCGTTGTCTCCCTGACCACTCGCTCAACGACAACTCAATGCCCGTCATCACGGCGTCGGTCTCTTCGTGGTGGTGATAGAGATGCCGGCACTTGGCGGCGGCGTGGAGGAGTGAGCGAGCCTGCTCGAGATGGACCCCACGATGTGTTTATTTTTGCGCTTTGCATTTTCTTCTACTTGAACCCGAGACCTGTGTGTTGTTAGGTCGACGCTCTAACCACTTGAGCTATTGATAGGTTGGCTCCTCCGCAATGATATACCACTGATGGCTTCAACCGGGCTCTGATACCACTTGTTGTATTTCAATAATCGCCCAGGAATATCCTTTTCTTTTCAGTGAGAGGAAATCGTTGACGGTAAGTTGTTGGAAGAAAATAAAACGCGTAAAACAACAAAGAGAGAGAATGACTGAAATTTTGACTACGCTTCAAATCAGGTTGTTAAATCTTCTGAACAGATTTCCTATTTAAATATAACCTATCCTAAAAATGGCCGGAGAGTGGCCAACTAAATCTGTGTCACTTCCTACAAAATTGCCATCTAAAACTTCGTTAATCCATTCAACGTGTTTGTCAAATGGTCAAACGAAAAACTAATGAAATTGTGTGAATCTAAATAAGGAAAAACTCAGGTTTTATCTAAAAAATGTCACCATGCTCTATGGCATCCTATGCCTTATGCCTGTAAGTTGACATGCATCTTGATCGACGATGCTGCGTAGTTACTCTTCGTGAGTAACGGGTACTAGAGCGTTACACTCCCCTCCTTTTCGCTCTTTATCATTGTCACTTCTCCTCCGGTGACTTTGTCTGGAGACGACATTTTTTTCACATCTTTGTTTTGATACCAAATATTGGATTTGACCCATAATTGAAATATTTCGAAACAAATAAAAAAGGCAAAGGTAAGACTTGAGGGGAGAGTGCCTTTGGAACAAAGTAATCTTAAGCACTAGCTTTTCAATTCTCTTTTGTTGTTATGTTGTTGTGAAAAAAGCATACTTCTCATGAGTATTTATGGTGTAGAAAGCACCAACTTGTTTCCTAAACTTTCTCCTCAAGTTATGAACCACTAAGTCTCCTTTAGTTGCAATTTGGCAGCTACTACCAAACAGGTTACTACCAACGCTTTGTACAGGATTTTGCCAAGATAGCCTCACTGCTTATGAAACTAACTCGAAAGGGTGCGGCATTTATATTAACTCAAGATTGTGAGGCAAGTTTTCAGGAACTAAAAGATAAGCTTATAAGCTTGTGGCGGTTAAATAAATCTCACTAATTTGTGAAATAAATCTCTCACACACTAACGATAGAACGCTCTGATACCAATTTGTGAAACTATACTACTCGCATATTTGTGAAAGAGATATCATGCACAATATCTTTTCTTTTGAGAGTGGAGAGACAAAGAGACAGAACACTGAGTTTTAACAAAAAAAACCCTTCTCTATCACTTCACTATATTATTCTGTTTCTAAGCTCTTTGACTTTACAATACAAGGACTAGGTATTTATAAGTTTTTCTAACTCTAATAATAGGTACAAAAGGGCCACCCATAAACATGACAGTATTCCTACAAAAGCTCTTGGTTTTTTCTTTCACAGGCTGACTTTTAAAATTAAACTCTCCTAACAAATTAACTAAAATTGGCATTTAGCTATTAAAAAAAACTCCCCATAAACTTAAATGCTCTATCCAACGACTCCACTTGCGCCGTTTTCATTTTCTCGAGCTCAGTCGTGGTTTCTTCAATTTCCTCTCCTTGTTCTCGAGCAACAAATTTGTCTTTTTCTGACGAAACTTTATTTGGGGCTTCTCGAAAACAGTACATTTGAGACAGTAACTCCTCATTTCTCCCGTTCTCAACCACGCTCGACTTAGTCAAAGACGTCATAGCTTCTTTCAGTTTACTCAATTCCCTTCGCAAGTCAACAACGACATTTTCTACTTCCACTTTTGCCTCCTCCATTTCAGTTTTATCATGAGTGATTATCTCAATTGTGCGTCGTAAACTCACTGCCTCCTGTTGGACTCGATTCAGATTCACGTCAAGTGAGTCTCTCTGTTGAGTTAGTATCTCTACATCTTTCTCCTCCTTCACTGGCTCTTCCACTAAACCATCAATCTGCATTAATAAACCATCAATTTTCTTCACAAACTCAGAGATTATCTTCCTATTCTCTTCCTTCTCCTGTTTGAGATGGAAAGAACTCTCACTCAGCTCAGCCACTTCCTTCTCTAACCTTTCAATCTCCATTTCTAAATCTTTCTTTTCTTTTTCAATCTCTACTTTCTCCTTCAAAAGGCGCTCGTTCTGGGATTTCAACATACGCAACTGAGACTTCTCCACAGATTTATCCAGGGCAGTTTTGGGTTGTTGCTCTGAATCTCTATTCTCTTCCTCATGATCTGGCAGTTTCTTTGGCTCGTTCACTAATCGCGTGGGCTTCTTCTTCACCATTGCGTGGGCTTCTTCTTCGCCATTGTTTTGGGATTTTGAAGGGATTGCAGCTTGCATTTGCATCATCGTTTTCTCATGTTCAATCTGCATTTCTGTCATCCTTTCTCTCCATTCCATCTTTTCTTCTTCCATTTTCTCTTCCATTCTCATCCTCTTTCTTCTTTCTTCCTCAAATTTTCTTTCCCGCCATTGAAGCTCTCTCTCTTTGAGCTCAAGCTCTCTGTTATCCAGTTGCTCATCCTTCTTAGATTTTCTCGTCTCCGATATCGCTATTTTGCCAAATCTGCTGCATATCACCTTATTTCTAATGGCTTCCACCGTCTCACGACTACCGCCATTGTCTTTCGCGCCGCCGTGTTCTTTTGCTTTCACATTTTCATTTTGGGCCATCAAGAGAATACCTTCGTTTGTTACGTCATCCAATGCTAGGTTGATCGTTTCTTCTACATTTTTATTAGCTCGACAATCTCTTGCAAAATGCCCCACTCTGCCACAATTGTAACATTTGTCGAAGTTACAATCGTTCGCATAGTGACCATATTTTTTACAATTGTAGCCTTGAATGTTGGAATAAATTGATCGGCCGCCTCTTCGTCGACTGCGTCCTCTTCCACGCCAATTTGCATGGCTTGAGTGTCCCTTCTCCTTATAGTACCCTTCATTACTATTGCCTTGACCATCTCGACCATTTCCACGACTTCCATGACCACAACCTCTACCTTGAAAATTTTGAGAGTAGAGTATCTTTTCATCTTTGATTGATGCCTTGATTTGAAGTGCTTGATCAAGTGTTTCCTCATTCTTCTTCTTACGTTGCTTGTGTGCCTCAAGAGATCTGGCGAGCTCATTGACTGTGAACGTCGCTAGGTCCTTTGACTCTTCTATTTCATATACAACATTCTCGAAGTTGTTGGTTAATAACCTCAAAATCTTCTCCACACCCGCATCTCGGCTAACATTTTTCCGTTTCGGTTGAGTTGGTTTATCACGGTCTATACATGCGTAATGTAGTTAGATACATTTTATGACTCCATCTTCATGTTCTCCAACTCGCCACAAAGAGTTTGGAGACGCACTTGCTTGATTCGGTCGGTTCCTTTGAACACTTTTCCTAAAGTGTCCCACGCTTCTTTTGAAGTAGTTGCACTGGCAATCTTCTCAAAGCCCGACTCGTCAACGGCTCGGAACAACATGTATAGTGTTGCCTTATCCTTTGATCGTACCTCTTTCAACACCTTGTTTTGTGTCGCTGTATAACCCGTGGTATCTTTTGGTTCTTCGAAACCTTCTTCGACCACCTCCCATGCATCTTAAGAACCGAGAAGAGCTTTCATTTGAATGCTCTAATTCTCATAGTTTGTCTTCGTTAGTCGTGGTAGCGGCATTTGACCCGTCACATAGACCATTGGCTTTGATACCAATTTGTTAAATAAATCTCACTAATTTGTGAAATAAATCTCATGCACACTAACGGTAGAACGCTCTGATACCAATTTGTGAAACTATACTACTCTTGTATTTGTGAAAGAGATGTCACGCATACTATCTTTTCCTTTGAGAGTGGAGAGGCAAAGAGACAAAGAACACTAAGTTTTTCCAAAAAACCCTTTTCTATTACTTCTCTGTATTTTCCTTTTTCTCTACTCTGTTTCTTTGCTCTCTAACTTTACAATAGGAGGACTAGGTATTTATAAGTTTTTCTAACTCTAATAATAGGTATGGTATGAGAGAGTGGCCTTCTCTTCTACCCGTGACTTTTCAAATTAAACTCCCCTAACAAATTAACTAAAATTGGCATTTAGCATTTAAAGTTTATTCAACAGTGAGTGCATCAGTACTCACGATGTCCGACGGCACAGGAAACTATGTAATTTATAGTGATGCTTCCAAGAAGTGCTTGAGACGTGTGTTGATGTAGCGCAGAATGGTCATTGCATATGCATCCCGACAATTGAAGGATCATGAAAAAAACTATCCTACACATGACTTGGACCTAGATGTAGTAACCTTTGCATTAAAAATTTGGCTACATTAATTGTATGGAGAGAAAATTCAGACGTACACCGACCACAAAAGCCTGAAGTATTTATTTCACTCAAAAGGAATGAGACAGTAGAGGTGGTTAGAAATGGTGAACAACTATGACATCAACAACCAGTACCACCCCGAGAAGGCCAATGTGGTTGCTGATGCCCTATGTAGGAAGACAACCTAGTTATCGGTGTTAATCACGAGGGAGCCTCAAGTAAAGACATTCGAACAAGTTGGAATAACAGTGGAAGTGGAAGGAGTTAGAGCACAGGTAGTCCAATTGATGGTTACTCCAAGTCGTCTGATGGAGGATTGTTGCACCAAGGTCCTTCGTGTATAGTGTGGTAGAAGAGCTAAGAAATGAGATACTAGGCAAGGTGCATAACTCCCCATTCGCCATGAACCTTGGTAGTACTAAGATGAATCAAGACTTAAAACCACACTTTTGGTGGCGTGGAATAAAGCAGGATATAACGGAATTTGTAATTAAATGTTTGGGTTGCCAGTAAGTCAAATCATCTAGACAATGACCGCCGAGATGGTTGCAACCCCTTAGTGTAACAAAATGGAAATGAGAGAATATAACCATGGATTTTATTGTAGGGCTATCAAGAACGTTGAAAGGTTACACAGTCATATGGATAATTATAGACAGATTGACAAAGTCAGTGCATTTTCTTTATGGTAAAGCTACCTACACTATAGACAATTGGGCACGCTTATACATGAAGGAAATTGTTAGACTTAATGGAGTTCTTATGTCAAATGTATCAGATTGAGACCCACACTTTAAATTAGCATTTTTGCGTAGGCTCCAAAAAGCATTAGGTACTCGCCTAGATTTTAGTATGACATTTCACCAGCAAACAGATGGTCAGATGGAATGTTTGAACTAGATCTTATATGCCACAGACGAAAAATGGTGACCCATGCCTCGACCAGGTGAACCATGCCCTCAAGGCAAGAACATTGTTTGAGATTCGAATCACTCCACAAGCAAGATTGATCATGTCTAGCTTGAATGATTCTACATGCAACCTAAACTAGGTAGAATTTGAATCACTCCACAAGCAAGGTAGAATTCGAATCACTCCACAAGCAAGATCGATCATGTCTAGCTTGAATGATTCTACATGTAACCTAAACTAGGTAGAATTGCAAAGAAACTTAGCCATTGGCTAAAGAAAAGTACACATGCTTCTTTTACTATATTTTCCATACAACCTAAACTAGGTAGAATTACAAACAAACTTAGTGCACAAATACTTCCATTCTTTACTATATTTTCCATGCAACCTAAACTAGGTAGAATTGCAAAGAAACTTAGCCATTGGCTAAAGAAAAGCACAAATGCTTCTTTTACTATATTTTCCTTCTTTCACTCTATTTTCACTCTATTTTCACTATATTTTCCTTCTTTTTATCTTCTTTCACTATATTTTCACTATATTTTCCTTCTTTTACTATATTTTCACTATATTTTCCTTCTTTTACTATATAAACTAGAGGTAGAATTGCAAAGAAACTTAGCCATTGGACTATATTTTTCACTATATTTTTACTATATTTTCACTATATTTTCCTTCTTTTTATCTTCTTTCACTATATTTTTCTTCTTTTACTATATAAACTAGAGGTAGAATTGCAAAGAAACTTAGCCATTGGACTATATTTTCCATGCAACCTAAACTAGAGGTAGAATTGCAAAGAAACTTAGCTTCTCTTACTATATTTTCCATGCAACCTAAACTAGAGGTAGAATTGCAAAGAAACTTAGCCATTGGACTATATTTTCGATGCATGCAACCTAAACTAGAGGTAGAATTGCAAAGAAACTTAGCCATTGAACTATATTTTCCATGCATGCAACCTAAACTAGAGGTAGAATTGCAAAGAAACTTAGCCATTGGACTATATTTTCCATGCAACCTAAACTTTTGGTAGAATTGCAAAGAAACTTAGCTTCTTTTACTATATTTTTCATGCAACCTAAACTAGAGGTAGAATTGCAAAGAAACTTAGCCATTGGCTAAAGAAAAGCACAAAATTCACATGTAGGTGCTCATGGCATCCCTACACAACTTTAGGTTGTATTCACATATAGGTGCTCATGGCATCCCTACACAACTTTAAGGCTTTCCTATAACAACTTTCAAGATGTGCATTTTGCCGAGAATCGAACTCAATTGTATTGCTTGGAAGGCAATTATCCTAATCGTTGGACTACAAATGCTACATGGTGTTTTAATCAATACGTTCATGAAATAGAATCATAGGGAATTATTTAAATGTTTCTTTCCGTTTATTTTAGGAGGCACTTGGATTTGTGTCTTGCGCAGAATAGTGATCTTCCTTTGGTTAACATCGAAGTCATCTTTCAACCTTAGCAGTCTAATAGATGCCATTGCTGGTGCATCAATTTGTTTACTTAAACTGGATTTTCTCTAAGATTCTTGATTAACATTTACATGTAGGAGGATTCCGAAGGTATGCCCGTTGTTGCTACCGCAGCTATTGGACTAGGTGTAAAGGCTTTTACTAAGGTTTGCTCAAATCCTTGGCTTATGAAACTAAGGTTGGCTCATATGTTCTAAATGGATGACTGAAGTTGGTTCATATGTTCTAAATGGATGACTGATGTTGGCTTATTGCGGTAACGGTTTTGACCGAAGAATGACTAAGCCAGAAACATAAACGATTGGAGTTTCAAGTAATGATATTAATGAATACTGAACTGTTTTATAACCTTCCAAGTAACAAAAGAAATAGAAACTAACCACAAATATTGCGAAGTAGTTAAACTGTATTTGACATAGTCAAATTATTCTAACAATCCCTCCCTGGTACTTATTCCTCTTTGTCAAGAATTAATTATTTCAACTCTACACAGCAGGTTTTGCACACAAATCCTGAAATGCTTCTAATTTGAGAGGTTTTGTCAACAAATCAGCAAGTTAATTTCGAGTACCACAAAATAATAAATTAACGGTTCCTTCTTCTATAAGATCTCTAAGAAAGTGAAATATTACTCTTATGTGTTTGGAACATCCATCTAGAACTTGATTCTTTAATAGCTTAATAGTTGAAGTATTATCACAAAT